TCCCATTTTTGGGATTTTTTAAAACTTTTTTGGGAATTCCGGGATTTCTAATAAGAAAATTCGAAATTTTGATTTAATTTTGGATTTTAAGTAAAAAAATCTACCTAACTGTAAAATTTCATCAAAAAATATTCATAAATAAAATTTTTATTGCAATTTGAAAAATTTGTATCTTCGCAAAAACTGAATAAAAAACATTTTTTAATTTTTTTTAAAAAAAGTATTCCGCGAATTTTTTAATTTTCAAAAATTATATACAGTTTTGAAAAATAGACAAAATTACCTTTCCATTGATATATAACATGCCTACCTAATGTTTTTTAAGTGACAAATTAATTAGGGAAAACTCAACATCTTTTAGAAAATTTGCCTAGCACTATTATTTTCATCCATAAGGTTAACTCTTAAATTTGTTACATATATGGATGAAAATAATAGTGCTAGGTAAATTTTCTAAAAGATGTTGAGTTTTCCTTAATTAATTTGTCACTTAAAAAACATTAGGTAGGCATGTTATATATCAATGGAAAGGTAATTTTGTCTATTTTTCAAAACTGTATATAATTTTTGAAAATTAAAAAATTCGCGGAATACTTTTTTTAAAAAAATTAAAAAATGTTTTTTATTCAGTTTTTGCGAAGATACAAATTTTTCAAATTGCAATAAAAATTTTATTTATGAATATTTTTTGATGAAATTTTACAGTTAGGTAGATTTTTTTACTCAAAATCCAAAATTAAATAAAAATTTCGAATTTTCTTATTAGAAATCCCGGAATTCCCAAAAAGTTTTAAAAAATCCCAAAAATGGGATTTTTTGGTTTTTTGCCTATTATATCCATACCAGGGGCGGGGTTATCGAAACCCGTTACAAAATGATTAAGAACTTATTGGGTCATATAAAACAGGTCACTATAATTTGATATCGACTATGCGATTTGAGAATTTTTGCTCAAAATTTAATTTTCCATAAAAAATAGGGTTTTTTTGGATGGACCTGGTCCCCTCGGTATCAAAAATTTTTAGGTTTTGTTTCATTTATCGTATTTTATGTAAAGTCAGCTTTCCAAAAAGTATAAATTCTATATACATCTTCTTAGAAACTTTTTAGATAACTTAAAAAGAAAAAGATACTTTTTTCCCAAAAAAATGACAAAAAATCGCCTTTTTTTAATTTTTTAAATTTAAATGCCTATAACTTTGGACTCAGTCATGATTTTTACATAATTCTTTCACTGCTTGGTATATAAACTTGTTGTTAAGCAAATAAAAAAAAAATGGCGAAAATCGGAAATATTTGGACCTGCTATTATCAAAAAAACTAAAGTAAGGACGGTAAAAATTTTAAAATTTTAATATTCAAATGCGAATATCTCCTAAACTATAAGAGATAATTTACTGCTACGACGACATTTTTTATAGTGCTCGATGAGGAGATTCTATATACGAAATTTTTTTTAAATCGGAACTCAAATGAAGAAATAGGATCGTTTTAAAAATTTAACATAGCCGAGGTGTCCTAATTTGATGACCCCCCGCCGGGCCCCTGGTTGGCCTATAAGGTCCAAATTCAAAACCTAAACTCGACAACACCTCCTCTTTGTGCACACCAAATTTCATTAAAATCGGATTAACCGTTTAGAAGTTACCGAATTATTTCCCTCTTTTTTTTTTCCTATACCACTGTGCGTTGTTTTTCGAATTGTAAAGATATGCAGTTATACAACTGAATCCCAATATAAAAGAGACATATTTCCTATAGAAAATTATATTTTAAAAGAATCATATTTACTTTAGAGGAAGTTGCTCAGAAAGATATATTTTCTGCAGAAAAAGTTTTTTTAAAAGAAACCTATTTTCTATAGAAAATACCTCTTTAAATTTTAATGGAGGTTTTTTTTTATTTTCTATAAAAACAGTTTCTTTAAAAGATACACATTTTCTAACAAAATTGTCATAAAGAGGACCTTTGTATTCGTCAATTATGAACCGATACTCATAAAATGTTGTACATATTTAGATTTCGTTTGTATAGAACTTGTTTATGCCAAATTTTAGCGCAATACTCGTATTTTAAGTAAGGAAAACTCGTATTTTAATAACCAAAACTCTTTCCTGAAGAGAACGTTTTATAGGGGCTAGGGGCTAAATCAGTCCTCATTAAATTCGGAATGAAGAATTATGTTAATAAGTATAAAATTATTTTATGTCGATTTTAATCGCTGTACTAGTAGTTTTCTGATTTATCTTCATCAAATTTTCTAAAGAGGATCTCATATGTGGGGTATGGTCAATTGTTGACCTATCCTCAAAACTTTTTGTAGACCGATTTTAGGGTCATTTTTGGCCCAATCCTTAAAAAAATTGGTTGAAAGGTTTTGGTTCGTAAGAAACTTACTTATACCGAATTTCATAGCTATACTCGCATTTTTGGGCCAGTAATGAGTGTTAAAGTCATTTTCTAAAGGGAACCTTATATGGGGGGTAGGGTCAATTATGAACCGATCCTCCAAGAATTTTGTAGAAAGATTTTGGGTCATAGGAAATTTATTTATGTCGAATTCCATCGCTATACTCGTACTTCTAATGCAGTTATTCCCGTTAAAGCTGTTTATTGGAGGTCCACTTGTATTGGGCTATCCGAAAAACTGGACCGATATTACCTATTTTCAATACCAAACAAACCTTAGTAATAGAGAATATTTATGCAAAATTTTAACTGTCTAGCTCCTCTGGTGTGGTCCCTATCGTGATTTCAACAGACAGACGGACGGACGGACAGACGGACGGACTTGGCTAGATCGTCTTAGAATTTAATAAGGACCCGGAATATATATACTTTTATGGGTCTATGACCAATATTTCGATGTGTTACAAACGGAATGACAAAATCAATATACCCCACATCCTTTTTGATGGTGGGTATAAAAACAGTTTTTCTATTGAAGAAGTATTTTTAAAAAAGATAACTTTTCTATTGAATGTTTCTCTTCAAAATAGACACTTTTTCTTTTGAAAATAAAGAAACAATTCACATTAAAAGAGACATTTTCTAGCTAAGAATTCTCTTTAAAATAACTCTTTTTCTATTAAAGGTCTGTTTAAAAAAGAGATATTTTCTACTGAAAATTCAATCTAAAAGAGACACTTTTGATACCCACCATTAAAAAAAGGGGGTATATTGATTTTGTCATTTCGTGTGTAACACATCGAAATATTGTTCACAGACCCCATAAAGTATATATATATATTCTGGGACCTCGTAAGATACTAAGACGATCTAGCTATGTCCGTCCGTCTGTCTGTTGTTGGCACGATAGCGTCCACAAAAAAGAGATATTGATATGAAATTTTCCCAAAATATTTCTTATTGATCAGAAATATTTGGTATTGAAAATGAGCAAAATCGGTCAACGATTTCACATAGCCCCCATACAAATGTACCCTCCGGAATATAATGTAAAAAGTTTTAAACATTCAAAAATTCGTTGTTTATGAAGTAAATGCCACAAAATATCGTATAAGTCAGTTTTTTTTACTTCCGAAATAAAATACTGAATTATGGCGGACATAGGACTACAATTGGCCCTACCCCCTATATAAGGTCCACTTTAGAAAATGACTATAATGCTGATTACTGGCTTAAAAATACGAAATTCGACACACAAAAGTTTTACGCGAGCCAATAACTTTCCATCAAATTTTATGTGGATCGGTCCATAATTGATCCTACCCTCCATATAAGGTCCCCTTCAGAAAATGACTTTAACGCTCATAATTGGCGTAAAAATACGTATATAGCGAAGAAATTTGACAAAAGTAAGTATCTTAGGAGCCAAAATCTTTTCACAAAATTGTATGTGGATCGGTCCATAATAGGTCCATAACGCTCATTACTGGCTTAAAAATAAGAGTATAGAAGTGAAATTTCACAGAAGTAAGTTTTATATGAGACAAAATCTCTCTATCAAATTTTATGTGGCCTTAATAGTACTTAATTAATTTAATGCCCATTACTGGCTTAAAAATACGAGTATAGCAATGAAATTCGATATAAACATGACTTGTTTAAACCAAGATCGTTTTCGAAAATTTATGAGGACCGGTCTATATTTGACCCTACGGTTTATAAGGTTTATATAGGGGCTAGGGGCAAATATGGATCGATCCCGATAAAATTTTGTGATTAGATTTCTATTTAAATAATATTTATTTGTGCTGAATTTCATCTCGATATTAGTGTTTAAATATGAATTTTGGACATTCAAGTCATTTTCTGAAGGGGACTTTGTATGGGAACTAGGGTCAACTGAGGTCCGATCTTTTCGAAATTTGGCAAAGTCGTCAAGGCTTGTAAAAAACTTATTTGTACCACTTTTTATCGAAATACAGGTAAATTTAACATTATTATGAGCTCAAGGGCCCTTTTCGGGAGATTCTGTTGTATGGGGGCTAGGTGAAATAATGGGCCGATATTAACCATTTTCAATAGGCTTCGTCCAGAAAAAGCACGTGTACCAAATTTCATCTAATTATATTGAAAATTGCTACCTGTACGTTACGCCAGACGGACGGACAGACGGACATAGATTAGTCGACTCAGAAAATGATTCTAAGCCGATTGATATACTTTATGGTATAGTATGTACGACGAATATTGTTGTGTGTTACAAATATCACCACAAAACCAATATAGCCTCCACACTAAAGTGGTGTAGGGTATAAAAAATAACGCCTTTATTTGGTACTACATAAACAATTGATTAAGTTACCTTAGTATTCATACAAACTTCATATAAAATAATCTTTTAAAAATGCCCAGACTTTTTAAGGACATATTATTTCTTTATATAATTTATTTAAGTACTCTACTCTTCAAGCAACCACGTCATCGCACTCATTTTAGATATGTATTCAAATGTTTCTACTTAGCTTTAATAGCGACATAATAATTATATTTTATGATATTTTTAGAGCAACTTTGTTGCATCATAGACTCACCTGAATTTGTCCAATGATTTTTTGAAAATGTAAAGTCAAGTGGAAAATGTTGTTGCTGGTCTTGCTGTTGCTGCTGTTGGTCATTATTATGAAAACTGCTGGTACCTTGACTTCTGCTCGCATCGCTGACTGTGATGGTGCTTTTGCTTTTCTTAACATTTTTAAATGACAATCCACTAGCATTACTGATACTAGTAGTGGGTGCATAAGAACTTAAACTATTTTGTTGTTTGCCCAACAACATGGTACTTAAACTAACGCCACTGCTGTCACCACTAGTGTTGCCACTATTCCTACTGTTGCCCCTGGTCCTAAATGTTGTGTGTATCAAGTTTAACGTTTGTGTTGGGCTAATACTGTTGATGTTGCTCATAATTCTGGACGTCTTAGTATTGTGATAACCAGACATTGTTGTTGTTGATGTGGGATATGCTACAGACGATGTTAGAGAAGGTGATGAAAATTTCTGTTGTATAGCACCACCAGCTCCTTCAAAAGACGATGATGATGATGGTAAATATGATGATGACCAGGACGACGATGACGACGGCGATGAGGCAAATGTACTATGTGTTGTATCGAAAGCATTGAATTGTAAACTTTCAACTAATGCGGCTGTAGATCCAACTACTGCCTGTGTCTGTGGTAAGGCCACTGCCACAACTGTTACAGTTTTTGTTATTGTAGCTGTCCAGGGAAAAATAAAAGAAAGTAAAGTATGAAAAAACCAAGAATAGAAATTGAAATCCAATTAAAAAATACATACATTTTAAATTAAATACTAGCAGCAAATTCTTAGGAGTAGTAATAGTTTCAGGTATAACCAGCACTTGACTTCTTTCTCTAATGCCTTATAATGTTTAAGCACCCTAAATGCCACCCTGTTAAGGGGGTTTAAGCAATTAATGCTTATAAAAACAATAGATAATGGTCTTCTCTGGTCGGTAACCAGCGCTTATATTTAGTTATCAAGATAAGTAAGTATTCCTTTTTTTATATTGAGACGTGAGTATTTTGTTGGTATTTTACCTTACGCTTAGTTGATTATTAAGCAAGATTATGGTATTAAGGAATATTTTTTATTATTTTTAAAAAGCTTTTATATTTAAAAAAAAATATTGTCAAGTCCTGCAAGAAATTTATAATCCAATTAAAATTAATCATAAATATTAAGCGCGTAAGTATATACAACAGAAAATAAAATAATCTCACGTTTTAGCTGATGATAAACGATTGAAACTGAAGAAATTTAATATGACTACAATGGTGACAAATAGGAAAAACTTAAATTATAGAATAATACGAATAAATACTTAATATTGCCAGCAGACTTCTTTAATGTGATATTCAATTTCAGTTGTTTTTAGAAATTAAACTTTTAAATTTTAATTTCAACTTCATACAAATGTATAATTTTAATTTCCCCAAAAAAAATACTTGCAGATATAAGTCAGTTTTATCGATTTGAAATATTATGTGACCGTATATTTTAAATGTTTTTTCACCTCTTTTTAAGTAACTTCTCTACCAATGACTTGTTAAGAAGCCACTAATAAACATTGGCAATTTTTTTGCGGTTTAAGCTGGTTAAAGCCCATAAAGCCTTCAAGCGGCCTACAAAATTGATATTTATATCTATTTGTATTTAATCGTATTACAGTATTTTTTTCGGTTGTCTCTTAGCAAATACATATATATTGCAAAATGTATGTATGTATGTGCTGGTCCATGGCAATATTTCTCTTTTAACCGCAGCCAATGCAACGTTTTTTTCCATTATTAATAGCCATCATCATAAACGTTTTAATAAAATTATTTTTACTAGTAGATAGAAATGCGTGTATGCTTGTATGAGTTTTTCATAAGTGGTCTGGTGCACACAATTACGAATTAAAATTGTTATGAGTACCCCATAGTTTTACAAGGGATCAAAGTATCACATCATGGGAGTAAAGAAAGTAAATTGATGCTTTAGTATCAATAAATAAGGAGAGAGATAACTCTCTGTAAAGTTTTTTTTTTAATGTATTTCTTAACCCACCATAAGTAATACATACGTTGCATTGTCAATTATCCTTTCTTATAGACAATTATGTAAAGTTGCTGTCTGTACGGTGTTAATTGACCTATTAGTTCGAAAACTGCAGGGTAAAGATACATACATAAGTCTTTGTATGCGTACGTGTAATTGCGTTTGTGTGCATGAATGTGTGTGTGTGAGTTAAGCTGGCCTTTGTGATTTAACCATAAATCAAATGATTCAATTAATAAAGTCCATACATAAATGTATAAGAGGCTTGAATTATCACATTTATTAAAAGACACCACCACATGGATATTTATGTCATTCCATTTGTCAGTAGGTCTCATGCTTTTAAAACTATTACATATTTCAAAAGAGGTTATTGTAAAAGAGAACAAGTAATATTGCTATATTCGTCAGTACCCACCATCGAAGAGGGTGGTCCTATATATGGATTTTCGTCTTAGAAGTTTAACTGGGGGCTTGATTCAGTTATGGGGCCGTGTCTCCGAACTTGTAATAGTAAACAATGTTTTCCAAAAAGTAATTTTTGTCGAATTTTATTTTAATTCCAAAATTTTTGGAACAATCTAAATAAGCTGATTTTCTATATGAATTAGAGTATAGGGTCCACTATGTTCCGAAAATTTTGATTTATAAGAAACTATTTTCTGTAGAATGTCATCCATATACTTGAGCTATAAAGTTATTTTAAGAACTTTACCTTGTATTGGTGGTTATAAATTATGGACTGAACCTCATAAAAATTGGCGGAGGGATTTATGTTGCTAACTAACCAACTAACTAACTAACTAACTAACTAACTAACTAACTAACTAACTAACTAACTAACTAACTAACTAACTAACTAACTAACTAACTAACTAACTACTAACTAACTAACTAACTAACTAACTAACTAACTAACTAACTAACTAACTAACTAACTAACTAACTACTAACTAACTAACTAACTAACTAACTAACTAACTAACTAACTAACTAACTAACTAACTAACTAACTAACTAACTAACTAACTAACTAACTAACTAACTAACTAACTAACTAACTACTAACTAACTAACTAACTAACTAACTAACTACTAACTACTAACTAACTAACTAACTAACTAACTAACTAACTACTAACTAACTACTAACTAACTAACTAACTAACTAACTAACTAACTACTAACTAACTAACTAACTAACTAACTAACTAACTAACTAACTAACTAACTAACTAACTAACTAACTAACTAACTAACTAACTAACTAACTAACTAACTAACTAACTAACTAACTAACTAACTAACTAACTAACTAACTAACTAACTAACTAACTAACTAACTAACTAACTAACTAACTAACTAACTAACTACTAACTAACTAACTAACTAACTAACTAACTAACTAACTAACTAACTAACTAACTAACTAACTAACTAACTACTAACTACTAACTAACTAACTAACTAACTAACTAACTAACTAACTAACTAACTAACTAACTAACTAACTAACTAACTAACTAACTAACTAACTAACTAACTACTAACTAACTAACTAACTAACTAACTAACTAACTAACTACTAACTAACTAACTAACTAACTAACTACTACTAACTAACTAACTAACTAACTAACTAACTAACTAACTAACTAACTAACTAACTAACTAACTAACTAACTAACTAACTAACTAACTAACTACTACTAACTAACTACTAACTAACTAACTAACTAACTAACTAACTAACTAACTAACTAACTAACTAACTAACTAACTAACTAACTAACTAACTAACTAACTAACCTAACTAACTAACTAACTAACTACTAACTACCTAACTAACTAACTAACTAACTAACTAACTACTAACTACTAACTAACTACTAACTAACTAACTAACTAACTAACTAACTAACTAACTAACTAACTAACTAACTAACTAACTAACTAACTAACTAACTAACTAACTAATCATTATAAAACTAAACCTTAAATTTTGGGAGGGGTAACAATAACACGATTTTGCGTTCCATACAGAGTGAGTCGGTCTAATGTACACATATATATTAAATTTTCTTTTATAAGTTTCAGTTGATTGATTAATGAAAGTGTACGAACTTTCTAAGAATTTCACAATTTTTTCGCGAAATAATTTGTTGTGGGATTAAATTTTTTATTTTTGGCTCAAAATTCATTGAGTTTATTTATTTATTTTTTTTTTTTTTCATAAAAATAAAGTCAAATTTTATTACATATTTTCTTGATTTGACCGCAGCAGATTTTTCCAATTATTCTATACACAGTCATTTGTGTAATTAAGTTGGAATTAATTGTCAACATATGTATTTTTGTAATTAATATTGAACATTTGCGATATTATTGTAATTATTATTTGTTTTTATACACGTCCATATGTTGTAAATGATAAATTCTTAATTGTATTTCTTTTTTTTTTGTTCTATGGATACATATATATACACGCAGAGAAAAAACATGGTTGTGGTAACCATGTTCTAAGAGCAACATATTATGGTTAAAATTATGATTGTAGTCTTAACATAATATCGTTATTGTAACAAATTTAAAATATCATATTATGATTAAATACCGTTAAAATATTTCATCATAATATTTTTCTATTTATCATAATAATATTGTTATACATGATCATATTATGATCCAATGTGTTCAAAATTTAGAAATATGTATAGAAATCAAAATAAATTTTACTGAATCAGTAAAATTACAGTTTCTAAAAAAAGTAGAAAAAAAATATACATGAATAAAGATAACATACTTACAATACTTAACACACTTTGCAAATTTCAATTTGATTCACAAAAACATTATTCTTTGCAAACTGAAATACTTATACATTTAATGCCATAAACCAAATGAGAATTATATCAACTCATTTTATTGTCGCGTAAAAAAAACACACGAAAAAGTAATCTGTGTGAGCAAAAGTTGTTTTGTTGTTGTATTAATTTGTTGATGTATCAGCAGACATATGTATAACAACATAACATATAATGATTATTTATAACAACATAACATACAATGGTTATATAACATAACATATTGTGGTTATTTGCAAGTTTAAATGGTTGTTAATAACAGAATATGTTTTGCTTGTTATCAGTATTTAGTTGTTGTAAAAATAATTATGATTCAGTGAATTATACTCAAATTTATAATTGCCTGGAACATGAAAATGTTTACAGTAACTAAAATATTGTTAAAATCTAATTAAAATAACAATTATATGTTTTTGAAAACAATATATTGTTACAGTAAACATGGGATAGTTGCAGTAACCATTTTGAACCATGTTTTTTCTCTGCGTGTAGGAGTGTTGTAATATGGTTATAAATGGAAAACAAATAATTTAATGTAAGTGTTATAAACATGAACACAAACCCATAATATCCTCCCTAGTACATGCGTGAAATTCGAACAAATTTTTTGAGGATCTCTAAATAATAGACAATATCACACGTATGGTGTATTATTGGCTTGAAAATGGTGATAATTAAACTAAGCCGACATTGCAGGCTCTATTCCAAAAATTTCTTCGAAATTTCCATTAAATTCACATCATTTTTAACTTCAATATTTTAAAGTAAAGAAAAATTTAGATTTTCCTAA